AAAATGGGGCGCACGGAGGCGGCAATAGGCTATGGAAATTCCTGCAGCCCGAAACAGCTGATGGTCTGGAGGCCAACCCAACCGACAATCAGCTGCTTGTGCTAATCAGACGGTGCTGAAACTGAAACTGGCTGTTTGCTGCAAGGAGGCAAGTTGCTGGGAGGCAGAGGCCAAAGGGTGGGGCCTGGCAACATTCGCTGTGTAAGACGCACAGACATTTCCACCCACTTTTGAGGGTGAAAAAAGTGTATCTTATACTTCAAAAAGGATGGTAAGTAGCTGAAAGGATCTACCACAGCACTAGGAATAATGGGTATGCAACGCTGAAGAAAACCTGGCTGGGGCCATTTTGGAGGCTTCAGGATTGCTATAATGCGAAGTAGGCATAGGGAGGGGGAACATAGTTAGACGGGGGTTTTGTAGCCAAAACAAAATAGTTTCCTGTGGGAACCAAGGACATTCCAACAAGTAGTTGGAAAAAGAAGTAAAGTAACCAGGCAACCAGCCAGCACCTTGATTGGACTATGTGGCTGATTGTTTGTGGAAAGGGGGAACTTTCTCTTTTTAATCAGGTGAAAACTGTGGGAAATTTCAGAGTCGGTTTTTACCAGTTTGTGCCAATATGGTATCTCCAATAAAATTGTTCTTTGAGGAATCTGCCTGCCCCAGAGTTCTGCTTTCTATGGAGTTATTACTTGGAACCATGACAGTATATTTGTCAAGATAGCATTAGAGGCCAAATATGCAATTTACCACCTTCTCAGATCCTATCTAAAGCAATGGAGGAAGCCAAACTGCTTGCTTACTTTGAGAGTGCTGTTCTTGGCAGTCAGCTGCTGCTCGAGCTGGGAGATCTGGCTGGTGGAGTTTTCCCGAAGTTTGGTAAGGTTGCCTTGGAGTCTCTGAACATCTTCAACCAGCTGAGCAATTTCTCGTTCTTTGGAGGCCAGTTCTACTTCCAGGCTGGATCGTGTCAACACTTCAATGGCCTGCTCCTAAGAGATAAAGGAAATTGGAAAGAGAGGAGACAGAAAAAAATCACTCAGTGGGAAAGCAACATTCCAAAGATTACCTGCAGTGCATTCAAAATGAAAAGGTAGTATTGGGTTATAGAGAATGAACAGGTCAACCTAAAATTCTCAGTGTCAAAAGTACTATTTTCTTCTGGGAGGTATTAAAACATGCCAGAGTAGGGGTGTCAAACTCAAGGCCCATGGGCTAGATCCGGACTACAGAATGTTTAGATCTGACCTGTGGGTCCACCCTGGAAACAGCAAACTGGCCTGTGGTGCCTCTGCCAACGAAAATGGAGCTCCATCCAGAGCTCCATTTTCACTGGCAGAGTGCTAGAGGAGGCCGTCGCAGCCGAAAATAGATCCAGGAAGGCCATGTGTGGCCCTCTCGAGCTCCATTTTTGCTGGCAGAGGGCTGCAGGAGGATCTCCCCAGCCCCACCCACAGTTGCCCCCAACATGAGTGACATCGACCTGGCAACTTCTATCCAGAAAATCTAATTTCAAGGCCAACAGTTAATAAATTTTTCCCAGCCTGGCTGTTCCTACAGATGTGTTGGACTTGTACCTCCCACCCTCCCTCCCAAAGACAGCAAATTGGGAGAAAGCTGGATTTGTAAAAAAATATCCTGATTAGGAGCTATCGTATACTGCTATTGTTAGCACATTTTATTTCATTGAATCACAGGGCTAGAAGGAGCCTCTGAGGTCTGTGCTGTATCTAATATCTGCTTCAATCGTATTTCAATACACTATGTTCTATTAATTAATCACTATTATTTCGAATAATAAACTTGGATGTTTTGGTAGAGTTTTGAATGTTTGGTAGAAACACCCTTGAGCCTTCTAGAGACTGTTTCCATAGTTCTTATGAAGCTTCCAGCTAATGCAGCATTTGATCATCCCCTAGCCTCACAGAAGGTCCCTGTGCATTAATTCAACTTTGGAACTGATCATTTATGTGAACTTTCAGGATTGGGTTGTGAATTATATGCAAACTAGAAATCAACTCTAATTCGATAAATAAGATACCCAAATAATCCAGGGCCCCATAGCTTGCTTAGCACTTAACTGGAACTTAACCCTTAAACTAAAAATTGCCTTGATGTTTTTCCTGGTTTGTGAAGAATCCCACCCCCACCCCCACAAGATACAATTAAAACATTACTACATAAATTTGCAAAGCCTTGTCCAAGATTTCACTCAGGCTTACAGTGCTTGTGTAATAACGATAAATTCTATGTTAAGAGTTAAGATTACATATGATTTGGGCCAGTACAAAGTATTCTTCCTTCATGGGAATATCACATGTAGAGCTCTCTATATAAAAACAAATCAAATTAAGGGCCCAGATCTGTCTTATTTCTCGCAGTGCATGTGTGTGTATGTATGTGTGTGAACACACACACACACACACACACAGCCCTCAACTTACAACCACAACTGACTCCAAAATTTCTGTTGCTAAGCCAGACACTTCATGATCTTCCTTGCCACAGTTATTAAATGAATCATTGCAGTTGTTAAGTTAGTAACACCACCGTTAAGCGAATCTGGCTTCCCCACGGACTTTGCTTGTCAGAAGGTCGCAAAAGGGGATCCTGTGACCCTGGGACACTGCAACCGTCATAAATATGTGCTAGTTTCCAACTGTTCAAATTTTGATCATGTGACCATGGGGATGTTGCCGCAATCGTAAGTGTGAAAAATGGCCATAAGCCACTTATTTGTGACTTAGGTCACTAAAGGAACTGTTGTTAAGTCGAGAGCTACCTGTACCTAGAAGTGCTAGGATCTGCCAACAACAACAAATCTCTATGATCATGAGATCTGGGAACTAACCATCAAAATAATGCAGAATCTGTTCTAAGGCCTACATACTATATAAATGCTCGCTGCTCCTGGGGATGAAAAGATGGTTCAGCAAGAGAGAGGTCATCACTTTCTGTGGCTGACTAGCATGCAACTGGTACATTAGAGGCAGGGCATGAAGCTCCATACACTCCCTGTTCCACTTCCTACTCCCATACTACTTTTGAGCCCCCCCCTCCACCCCGAGTTGGTTTAAAATGGACAACCATACACATGTTTTAAAGGAAGAAATACAATTCTAACCATCTACTGGCAGAAGAGAGCACAAGGAGAATTGGCTTTAGACCAGCAAATATTATCTTCCACCTTCCCTAGGAAAACTGCAGAGTTATTATATACATGCTTCCCCCCCCCCCAAACACCCCAGTCCTGAAATGTCCAGTTCTTCCAAGGTAGAAGATTCTGCATAAATAATTTAGAAAAGTTTAAGAAGTTTGATGGCAGGCACTCCAAGAAGATTATTGGGAATAGATTGCTGCCTCTTACCACATCCGGTGCTTTCTGAATCTGGTTAGCCAGCTGGAGGGATTTGTTTGCAGATGAGAGTTGTTCCTTCAAGGACTCTGCTTCTCTTTGAGCTACCTCTGCCCTCTGGAAAAGGGGGGGGAGGGGGAATCAGGAAGTGAGGATGGGGGAGAGGGAGAGAATGTACATTTGATTTAACAACTGGCAATTATTGCACGAACATTCATCAATTCATGCCCGACTGAGTATAATTGATTTTCCTAAACACTCAACCTAATAAATGATGGGGGGAAAACCTCTGAATGTGATGGATTTTTATTTTAAACAGTACAAGGAAGAAATAATTGAGCGATTATGACAGTAATTTAACGCTAGGAGCAAGGAATCCCCTGCTGACACAAATGCTGCGGCCCACTGAATTTCCCAGGCTGGATGAATGCGAGTGGAAATGGATTCCTTTGATTCAATTGCCTTCTGTATTCTGAGCCAAAGCAGGCAGAGTTGCATGATTCCTTGTGGGAATAATTCTCATGAGTAAAAGCTGAATTAAGTGATCCTCAGTCTGCCTTGCCTGGAATAATCACAATGGCCTTTTGTTGAGTCTCTTTCTTCCATAATCATGTCTCTCCTTTTCATACACGCACACAGTGAAGTAAACAAGGTAAGGAGAATGGTTACAGGTTTAATCTACGTTACATTTTTATTCTGCCTTTAAAAAAACAAAACAGGAGGCAATAACCTCTGATATGCCAGAGATTGCTGAATATCTTTCTCATCAGCCCAAAGCAGTATGGCCAATTATCAAGCTGATGGGACTTGTAATTCCAATATCTAGAGAGCCACCTTTTCCCACTCTGTTCCAAGGACTACCATGCAAAATAGTTCCTCTCATCCTTACAAACCCATGGTAAGGAAATAGAAGAAGAAGAGGCCTCCCAATTGACAAAATCCCAAGTGTTTGCACAGTGCTTACAGGCACTGGGCTCCTCTATGCATAAATACAGCTCACTGCAAGGATATGACATTTATGGAATCTGTTCCTATAAACAGCTTGAGGACTGGATCAAGGCTGCCCAGTAAACTTCCTGGCTTTGAGAAGAGGTTTTAGATCAAGTTCTCCTTAGTCGAAATCTAACACATCAACTATTCCACATTTGTTTTTAATGAATACATGACACAAAAAACAGTAGCTCTAGAGGGAAAAGAAGCACATGAAAACCTTAAATTATAAATGTACTTGTTGGAGCAAGTACATGCTACTGTAGAAGCATCCCCTTTTGGATGGTTTAAAGCAGGAATAATTCATTGTATATGGTGCTTACTGACCAGAGTTAATTGGAGAGAGAGGAAAAATTGTGTTTGCTCCTCCTACAGCTTTCCAAACTAGTTTCAAAGATAGCAGACTCAACAAGGACGTAAAATGGTCAGAGCAGAAAGGCCTTGTAGGTCTCTCCAAATCCAGTTTCAGAAAATGACAACTCTGGGTGCCTAGATACTCCAGCATCTGAAATTACAGGGCTTCCAGTTATGGCTCTCTCTCTCTCTCTGTCTCTGTCTCTCCAAATGATCTCAGAGTTGGAAGCATGATATATTTTCAGCGGGATGATTACAGTCATTTATTTACTACTTTTCAGAACGGTACTCTGAAAAGATTTATAATCTATAGAAATATCTGCAAATAAAAACTCAATTATTGATGAAAAAGCAGGCAAAAGATCAGCTGCGTAAGTCTCTGTAGCATTGTTGCCGACTTTCTCCCTCCCTCTTGAGCAGATCTGGGCATTTTGTGGTCCATGGGATCATCTGGCCTACATCACCGGGCACTGTCAGCGGGGCTGGGGCGGTGACAGAGGACGTGGCAGCAGCCCTCTACAACAGTCCCAGTTTCTCATGTGGCCCCTTGGGAACATTAGCGGCCCACCCCTGCTCTTGAGGGATCCTTCCTAGGGGGTGGTGACAGTGGCCGGAAGTAGAAGAAGGAGAATGTCCAGCTAATTGGGCTTCTGTAGGGTTGTGGCTTGCTCTCCTCCCTCTTTTCAGGGATCATCTCCATAAGCAGTTCCCTTTGTAATGCATCATCAAGCCCCATGGAAGGAGTGCTCTTGTCATCTACTGAGACAAGAGCATTTAGCCTCCCACTGAAGCATTGGTGCAGATAACCCATCCCGATAATCAGCCTCCAAAGCTGTTGCAGGGATATGTTTTCAGCTAAAGAAGAAATGTTCTGAAGGAGTGGGTGGGGAGGCATGAGGCAGGCTTCCTTTCCACTTCTGGCGTAAGACTCCTCTAAATTACAAAAGGATGGTCAGAATGTAAAGGACTACTGAAAAAAATAAACTTAAAGAACCATGCTTGTCTCAACCTCTCCGACTGAAGGGATACCAGAGTTTCCTTTCGACTTGCTAAGAGTTGGCTTCCAGTTCACCATTGCAAGTTTACTCTTGATATTTGATCATATATATCTGACAGAAGCTACAAAGAAGTTGCATAGAATATTTGCATTATTTGCACAATGCCAGCACAATGCCATGGCATCCCTTGTCCCCCAGTTAGATGCCTGGGCTTTCGATCAACATGCAAGGATGGGTGCAGGAGGAGCAAATGAGGACATGGGATGATGATGGTAACCTGAATCATAGCCATAATCATAATTTTCCTGCAGGACACAGGGATCTATCATCCTATCTCAGGAAACTAGATCTAATAAGCACTACCTTTAGCTTCTGGAATGTTAACATGAGGCACACCGAGTTCACAGGTAGGAGATACGGATTCCTACCAAACATGAAACTCAGCATATGTTACATTGTTTTAAGAAATATGGCCTTAATGCCTTCACAATCTTACATTTTAAGTCTCATCCAAGGCTTTCACATTTCTTTCATTTTTTCATTCATTTGGTGTTTAAACATAATGATTCCATTAAAAGATAATGAATACTTCACTGATGAACTCCGTCTTCAAGCTTACATTCCTATTTTGCAGATAATTTTCTCCTGAGGAGTTTGTCTATGGAGATTCTCAGTCATCTGGGTCATGGTTTTCTCAAAGGTGCCTTTTCAAAAGGCAAGTGGACTTTCTTTGTTTTTCCTTGAAGAAGTTTCACTTGTCATCCAAGAAGCTTCAATCGGTTCAACCAATGAAGCTTCTTGGATGAGAAGTGAAAAGCACCTTTGAGACAATCCTGAGGAGTTTCTTTACTTGGCTCTTCAAGTAAATTGTTTTTATTACAGAAGATATCTTTGCATGATTAGGTACGTTGATGGAATAGGGAATCCAAAATAATCCTTCTCTCCCATCTGGTGCACATAGTTTAACTTTGATTTTAAAAAAAAACTGAATTATGTCTACAACCAAATCTATTTTCTAACTGAAATTTTAAAATACCAAGATAAAAAACTAATACAATAAAAGTACATGAAAAAGAGAAGGTAAAAGTGCATTTTAAAATTTTCTTTCTCCCCTCTATATTCCCCCTATAGTCAAGATAATAGAAGGAAAAAAAAATAGACCAATGATTTGACAATTGGGCACGAAGAATATCAACGGCTGCTTTATCTGTCATTCCCACTTAACCAAGACTTCAAAAACAGGGTTACCAAAACTGGAGGTAAAGCCAAAAGTGGTAATTTATACTTCAAAAGCAAGAATGCATGGAGGCAAGTGTACAGGCTGCTCTTAGGTCCTTAACTTGACCTGGTAATTTTGATATCTTCAAGGGCGATAATAGCGAAAACAAAAAACAAAAAACTTTCTCATCAAAGCTGAAAAGACGACACTATCCAACTTTAAAATCTTACTTGATTTGCTCTTTCAAGGTCTGTCATAATCATCTCAATTTCATCCGACCTGAAAAGAAATAGAAAAAAGTCTATTAAGCCCTGAAGAACAAGTAAAAACAGAGCAAACACCGATCATCTGGATTTTTTTTTTATGTCTGTAACATTTGTGCACAGCAATATTTTCCTCAAAAATCTTAAAAACGATTCTTATTTCATATCAAAACATTATAAAATTAAGAAACTCAAGTTAGAACCTTCATAGTTCTAAAAATAACACCTGGCTCATCAAAACAGTTAGCCAGAATAATTGGCATATTATTTAATTGTTAAAAGTGAAAAAAAATCTCACCATATGTAATCTTGGATTTGGCAACTGATACTCACATGGTGTGAAGGAGACCAATATTTCAAAGAACAAACCAATATTACATAGACTTGTAAGAACGCCAAATTTCACGAGATTTGGGTAAAAATACCAAAATCTCATGAATGAAGGTATAAAAACTTCATGAAATTATAACCATTTCTACTTAAAAAATATTTGTTGGATGGGGCTGAATCATCACATAGGATGCGAAGATTCCACCCTATACATTGTCCAACTTCTAGTATACAGAATATACGCAATTGCTTGATAGACTGCATTTATAGAAGAAAAACTCACTATGAAGTTAGAAGGGACTATTTATGCCAGCATTTTTCAAACAACTTCAAGGTGTGTGTACTAAAACTCGAAACTATGCTCCACATAGAAATCATCATCAAAATATGATTTTGTTTGGACATATCCAAGGAAGGCAAATTCACTACTGTCATTGGCAATTAGTTCCCCTGTCTAATTCAAAGGTCTTCAAACTTGGCAAGTTTAAGACTTAGGTCCTTAATCTTCAAAAGGTATGCTCTTTTCATTGCAAAAGCTAAAATGTTACACCAGGAGCTGACATTTGGCACCTGAAATCATTTATTTCATAAAATCTCTAGGAGCTATATTTATTGTCTGTAAAACTTTAATATAAAAGTAGTTCTAGCCCATTTTTACAAGATTCATTTCGCTCCAGTTCTCAATCATTCTAGTTCTTAGTTATTATTAACAGACATGTCTAGCTGGTTTTCTCAGGCTTCACATCTTTGATTAAATTCCGTTTTGACAGAGAAGAAAAACATCTACATTTAGCAGGCAAACCCCACTTGTTTCAGCTTAATGTCAGGGTACATGGAAACTGCCTTGAAATAGACTAAGGGTTTTCTATATGTAAGATTTTAAAGTTGCTACCACCAGATGCAGTGGTGGGATTCAAATATTTTTCACTACCATTTCTGTGGGCGTGGCTTGGTGGGTGTGGCTGGGGAAGCATACTGTAAAATCTCCAGTCAGAGGTGGTATTTTCTGGTTCTCCGAACTACTCCAAATTTCCGCTACCGGTTCTCCAGAACTGGTCAGAACCTGCTGAATACCACCTCTGCACCAGACCAGATGAGTAAGAGGACATGAACAAAATCGGGACTCTGAAAATTCTCAATTAAAAACTTCAGGCTTGAAAGATTTGACATTTGCAAGATTTTTTTTTAAAAAATACATAGTTTCCCACAACTACTTCACAATTGAAAGTAACTTTTCATTATGTGTTAATTTATATCACAGCATGCCCAATTATATTTTCCCAAAGGGAACAGAGGAGTTTTTGTACCTAAAAGACAATAAGGCAGAGTACTTATTTTATAAATAATTCTCGGGGCATTTTCATTGATCTTTATTAAGGGTATGTATGTACGGCCTTAAGAGACTGCATTTTGTCCAGATAAGTCAGTATTAGACAAACTGGGTTCAGTTTTGCTTTTCTATCAGAATGTGACTGAGTGGATTTTTTTAAACTGTTGAATAAATTCCCTTGATGAAGATCAGTGAATTAGGCCAGCCAATTCTTTATTAATATCTGAGGCTTACTGTCTTTTTACAGCATTTCTTCTGATCTGTAATCCACAATTATTCTCTACTGAAATATATTATGCTGCATTTTGTATCTCTGCCTGTGTAGCCGTTACAGTTTCTCCATTTCTTGGTTAAAACCAAAAGTTCTTTTGTATGAATTTGGAAATCTTACTCTTTTCAGTTGAGTTACAGGTAAATGTGTCTGTCATATTGCAGTCTGAATTTCCAAGTTCTCCTTATATAATGTAAGAATATTATTAAAATTGAACAGGGATTAAGCACAGAAGAGGGAAAAAAGCAGGGAGTGGAGGTGAAAAAACCCTAATGGCAAATATACAATAGGAGCACTAGAATATATGAAATGTGGTTAACCATGGAATAACATATTTTCCTTTGAAGATTCTGCTTATTTGGCTTATTATAAAAGTCAACATCTGTATCAACAAAAGTGCAGCAAAAATAATCTTGATTTCTTTTATCTGAGTGGCTGGTTTGCATATTTCAAAAGTTGTTACTGGCAATTAATATCATATATTTAGACTGAGAGCCAGTTTGAAGACTGTGAATTCTAGTTTTGCCTTAGCTAGCTGGGTGATCTTAGCCAGTCACTTTCTCTCAGCCCTAGGAAGGCAGCATTGGCAAACCACTTTTGAAAAACCTCACCAAGAAAACTGCAGAAACTTATCCAGGCAGCCTCTGAGAATCAGACACAGAATGAAAGGAAAACATACTCAGACTGGGGCTGGAGTGAAAGAAAACTGTGTGTGCCTATGACAGAAGAATGATTCTTACATTTTTGGTTCAGCAACATCTGGAAAGGCACTAATGCTTCTCATTCCTGATCTTTACCAACAGAATTATGCCTTCTTTCTATGAAATATAGGTTAATGTGTTCTTGTTTTTTAGTCTCCTTAAGAATAGATGCAGCAATATGTTCGAAAAGAAATATATCTTTAATCCTCCCACATGAGACTTTCAAGAAGAGATTGGACTGCCATTTGTCAGAAATGGTGTTGGGTCTCCCGCTTGGGCAGTGGGTTGGACTAGATGACCTTCAAGGTCCCTTCCAACTCTGATTAATCTGTTAATCTGTCCCAATTCATTCTGGGGAATTTTAAATAAAATACTGAGTGGAAAGAAAGTGTGCCCCGGAGTCAAAATGCTCTCTTGAGGCTGAAGGTAGCACACCTCATTATATCAGCTTGAAAAACATGTTGGCTCTGAAGCTGAAAGTGAAATTTAGATATTATGATGAGTAATCCAACTGACTCCTCCCCCTTAAATAGATATAATATGGAATTCATTATCACCAAATAAAAGATGTCTGTTATTCTGAGAGCCTTAAACATGTTTATTAGTCATGATGGCTAAATAGCATTTTTTGAAAATATTTTTCAAGTGTACAGTACATTAAGCCTTTTATGCTCGCTTTCGGAGTTGCTAAAGATGAAAGATTCCTATCGACAGACTTCTGATTTGATCAAAGAAGTCTTCTTAGATCGTTTTATTTTAAAGGTGTCTTAGAACAATGAATTTTATCAGTTAGTTACAGTATGTGTGATGTGAAGAAGTGCACTGCTTTTGATCAACCAGAATCAAATGCAGAATAAAGTGATCACCTAAAGCAATGAAAATGTCTCATCTTGCTTTTAGAAAAGACAGAAAAGGTGTAAACTAGGTTACCCTACCTTAAGTGCAACTGTGCCAGATATAGCACTACTTGCTATGGATAAAGACAGTATTAATCAGTTCTGGCATGTTTTTTCCAATATGGCACAAGTACCACCAAAGCCCAGTTTTGCCTCAGGCATATTGTTTTATGCAAGCTAGGATAGGAAAACAGAGTTGGAAGGGACCTTGGAGGTCTTCTAGTCCAACCACCTGCTCAGGCAGGAAACTCTATACCACTTCAGACAAATGGTTGTCCAATATCTTCTTAAAAATTTCCAGTGTTGGAGCATTCACAACTTCTGGAGGCAAGTTGTTCCACTGGTAAAGGAGTCTGCAACCTGTGGCTCTTTTGGCCCTCTTTTGGCTGCAGCTCCCTGTTGGCTGATCCCACCACTGGCTGCCCCTCCCCTGCCCTGCCCTGCCCTCCCCTCCTCATCACATATTCCAGAGCAGGTGTTGACTGGGTGGGAGTGAGTGACATCGAGTTGGCCACGCCCACCCAGTCACACTGGTTGTTAAAATTATTGGCTCCCAGTGTTTTCTTTTCTGTGGGAAACGGGTCCAAGTGGCTCTTTGAGGATTTAGCAGACCCCTGCACTGGTTAATCGTTCTAACTGTCTGGGAATTTCTCCTTACTTCTAGGCTGCTTCTCTTCTTGATTAGTTTCTATCCATTGCTTCCTGCCCTGCCCTCAGGTGCTTTGGAGAATAGATTGTGGCAACCCCTGAGATATCAGAATACTGCTGTCATGTCCCTAGTCCTTCTTTTCATTAAACTAGACATACCCAATTCCAGCAACTGATCTTTATATGTTTTAGCTAGCACCTCTAACCTAGAGATTATCTTGTAAACCAACTACTGTTACCCACAATCCACCAATTTGGAGGTACATGCTGTATACTTGCACATAGCTGCTTCTTTTTATTTTATTATGTGCATACTATTTCTTAATCCTTTCCTGTGCTCTGCATAGCTTTATCTGCAGACAAATAGTGTGATGCATATACATTTATGTATATTGAAACATCAATTGAAACACCAGTGTCTCAAATTCTTTCTATGACCTTTTCTTACCTCATGTTGGTAGCTACTTTCAAAAAGAAGGGACCCTGAATTATTTACATATAGAAGATTTGAAAGCCTACAGTGAATTTATCTGAAATACATTCAGAGACAATAAATCTGTGAGAATAAATAAATTGGTGAGAAGGAAAAAAGCATGTAATATTTTCCTTTTATTGTTTTGTTCTTTTTATTTGTTCTTTGTATGAAGCCACAAGTGCTTATAAAATTGAACTACCAAACACTTTCATTAATATGTTTTGCAAATAAAATCTACCAGTTTGATACTGGGAAGCTATACAATTCACTTAAATAAAAGCATTACATTGCAACACAGACTTCCACTGGCAGTCAGAACAAAAAGGCGAAAGAAGATTTTAAAGAGATGAACAGCTTTTTTGAAA